TGTAATCATTGCAATCAAACAAAATACAATAGGAGTGCAAAACCAATGTTCTTCCATGAACCTGCCACTCAATTCACAATAAAAGCTTTTTTCTTTTAATGCAAACACTTGATTCTATAATTTATATTGCTTATATGGAGTAATAAATATATTACAGCATTTTCATCAGATGAGCCAAGCTTGCCAAGATTCAGAAGTATCTTTAAACAAAAACTTTCATGGATCAATAGCAGCCATTAAAAGGGTATCTACATAATTGAACAGAAGACTCAGAGAAGTATGAAGACACAACAAAACAATTACTGCCAAATACTGGCTTATCAAGCAGCTCACCATTGCACACACATTAGAAAGCAACAGTTAATGATGGAGTTCTCCAGAAGTATGGAGTGACAGAGATTGATTTTGTATAACTACAAACTACAGCATCATTGAGACATTTGAATCTTGCATGAAAAGAATTTGAGTATACAGCTCTTTCAAATAAATTTCCTTCTTACACAATAGGATATATCTGATGAAAAATGCATGAAGGCATCCAAGAAATTAGTGCATGCTTATCCTGATGTTGTTGATATACACCTTCTTGGAGAAATGGGCAAGTTTCATTCTTACATGAGAAGCAAGTGCACAAATTCAGGAAAGATATATTTTGCTCATATAGTCATGTAGGATTTCATAATAGAAAATAAGATATATACAATACATATTTCTCAACATTGAAATTGCTTTATGCAGATTCCTAATTTTAAGTATTAAAAACTACACAACAGAATGCTCATTTTTGTTCCTAAAGAGATTAAAAAACCCTCAGGGAACAATGATTCAATTAAGACTTCAATTCATTACCGTCATTATGATTGAAAGTAGATTTTGTTGGGCAACTTACTGTGATGAAATCATTGAAGAATTTGTGTAAGAGCAAAGAATAGAACAACATTTTCTATTAGAACAATTTAGAGGTGAAAAATCTATCTGAAAATCAAACAGTGTATTTTTGCAATATTTGTTTCCTGATCGTTACATTTTTTTGGACATCTTTTCATTTTGTTCATTGATAATTGTCAGATTTATTATTAAACAACCATCAAAACTGAAGTATGCACCATTAAAAGCAAACCTGGTAGAAGTCATTTTTTGAGTGGGAGAGCAATAGAAATTTTAAATTGTTGAAACAACTAAGTTCATTGACTCATTTCCTTTGTTGTAGAATATGGGGAACTTTATTTTTGTAGAAAATGTGGCATAAGAATCTTAGTACTCCACATCCACTAAAAATTTGTTAATAGTTCATTTCACTGTACTAAAATGGCATACTTTACTTTCGCGTTCAATCACTAATATCATGGTCAATTAAGTTTGAGAATAGATTGCTAACACACACACACAAACACACATATCTCACATACTCCAACTGAATGAGTAAGTAAACAAAGGAGGGAACACCACAAGTTATTATTAGGTGTTTAGGACACTCACATTCCTTAATTTAGCCCTGATGGTATCCAAAGTAGCTCCCCTCTGGCTCAAATTACTAAGTCTTGGTCAACCAAAGTCTGGTTTCCCTTAGCAGTCTACTGACTGCTCCTTATCTCTCTTTGTTCCTGTCTCTGCAGAGCAAACACTGAGAGATTTGAAGAAATAAAAAATAGCTGAAATCACAGTTTTGGCTTTCAAACTAATCATTGATTAATGTTTCTCTGATAGCCCAGTTGGGGACAGCCATGGGTCCAAAAGTATTATGAAAGTTTATTTAATAAAGGTGTCAACCAGAAGGCGATTTTGAAAGAAAGACCAGGGAACCTTCCAGGGCATAACCAATCTAAGGAAAGGCTCAGAGCTTGGTCCAAGGACATTGTTTCTGTGACTCAGGAAAACTCCTCATTCAATCCCCAAGTCTCATGCTGAAGCTCTAGGCAGACAGAATTTCAAGAAAGGCTGAAGTAGCCCTGAAAACTGTAAAACATTAGAATCAGAAACAAAGCCACCTTGCTCTGTAGGTGGTATGGTAGATTATATTGTTGATCTCAGTTCTCTGCTCCTCCCTGTATTCATGTCCTTTGCCATGTGACTTTGAAGTTCTTTCCACCAAAGGGGTTAAGTTTATTTTCCTGACCCTTGACTTTGAGTTTGATCATGAGACTTGCTGTGGCCAACAGGATAGGGCTGAAGTGACAGTGTACAGACCTTAAAAGTCCTTATATGTGTCCACTTGTGCTTTTGCCTGCCATGCCTTAAGAAGAATATGCCAGGACCTACTGGTCCCAGGAAGAAAATGAAAGACAATGGATTAGAGTGAAAGTCAGTTACCCAAGTCTAGCCTAGATCAACATCCTCTCTGTTGAACCCCAAATGTCATCCAAGAACCTACCAAATCCAGCTTAGATCAGCCAACCCTTAATAGATCTGAAGATCCATGAGAATACGTGATTGATATTCTAAATCATTGGATTTGGGAGTAATCTGTTAGGAAACATTTTTGTTGTGAAAAAAACCCATGGGGATCACTGCATTCCAGGCCCTGGCCACCAGACTAGATGATCAGCATTGTTGATTACTGGTCCATAGAGCAAAATTGGTTCTACCAGCAAGCTTGGGGTTCCAGTTTGCAACAATACAGACAGCCTCAGCTATAAGGTGCTTTACCGGCCATGGGCCTTGAATTTTACATTTTAATATCTGAAAAGCACAATTTGACCATTACTAACCAGCAACGAAAACATCAGGACTTCCCTAACTTAATTTATGAAGTTTGATCAAATGTACCTTTTTTTTTTTTTTAATAAAAACTTAAAGAAAAAAAAGTTCATTTTTTTCTACCACATGAAATTTTCTGTGATCCAAAATGAATTTCCAACATTGACAGTCAACCTCAAGATAAAACAAGCCCATGTATTTTTGTTTCATGCTACTTTGTCCCTAAAACACTATTTGGAAGATCTATTTGAAATAAAAATGAAAAGAATAATAACGTATGAACCCTTTTTAGAATTGGTTTCTTAAAAAATGTCAGAAGACCCTACTTTCTAATATTAAACAATTCTAATATCCACTCCATGGATATTAGTAATTATTTTAAGTAAGGTTGTAAGCTTAGCAAAGCACATACTCCTTTGATCTATCACTTTTGTTCTGAGCAACAGTAAGGCTTGTTGTTGTTAATTGCTGTTGAGTCCGTTCTGACCCAAAGCAACTCTGTATAGAGTTTCCAAGGAGTGACTGACTGGTGAGCTTGAACTGTGGACTGTAACATTCACACCAACTTTGCAGTCTAGCACATTAATCCATAGCGCCACGCCAGGACTCCAAAAGGAATACTAGTTGATATTATTCTTTGTGTGTGAGAGTAAGTCATAACACCTTCTCCCTGATAAACTTAAAAACAGAAAGAACCCTAGCATCATTTATGTACTTATCATGACAAGTCCAAGTACCCTAATGTAGGCACTGCTCACCTTGGGATATTTCTGTCATTCCACCCAAACTTTACAGTCTTTTAGACAAGCACTATCCGAACATGACGATGTTTTGGAGAAAGGGCACTACTTCTTATGGGTAGCCTAAAAAAACTGTTTGAGAAGGAATTGTTTCAAGAGAAAACCCATTCTCTGAAATGTGGTTATCAACGATCCAGGACCCACTCCTTCATCCTAAAAGAAGTCTAAAATAAAAGGCTGGCAAGGAGGAAACAAAGCTCTGTACTGGTCACCTTTAGCCTTGGGGATTCACATCCGACAGGAGGAAACCCTGAAACAATAAAGAGACCCCTGTCTATTCATTTAGATCAGGATGGCCTGCCCTTTTCCCTTACTCTTTGCTGCCACAGAAACATTACTTTTTACTGCTGCAGATGTCATAGGTGACTGTGGAAAAATGAAAGAAACTTTTCGATATAATAGATTGAACCACATGAAACTGTCCCAAAGAGTCAAATAAGACTTCTTATGGCTTAACTTAATACAAAGCTAAAATACAGTCACAGAAATTAGAAACACAGGCAGTCCCCCAGATTACAATCAAGTTTCATTCATAAATCTGTCTTTAAATCAAATTTGTACATAAATCAGAACAAGTAGATACAATTGGTATCGAAGGTCAGTTGGTCAAATACCTGTCTTATTGTTGTTGATAAGTACCTCTGAGTTGGTTTTGATTCATAGCGACACTGTATGGGCCTTCTAAGGAGCAAATGCTGGGTTTGAACTGCTGACTTTGTGGTTAGCAGTCCAGTGCTTATCCTACAGCATCACACCTATTTGTCTTGTTGTTAAGTGTCGTTGAGTCGATTCTGACTCATAGTGACCCTGTATAGGGTTTCTAAGGAGTGGGTGATTGAGTTTGAACTACAGACCTTGCAATGTAAATGGCCTTGTAGACCAGTGCTTATCCTACAGCACCATGCCAGGACTCCATGTTTGTCTTGTTGTTAAGTGCTGTGGAGTCAATTTCAACTCATGGTGACCCTACAGTTTCAAGGTGCAGCTGGTAGGTTTGAACTGCCAACCTTATGGTTCTCAGTCCAGTGCTTATCCTACAACACCACACCAGGAGTCTTAGTAGATAGTATATTGTTGCTGTTAAATGCCATTGAGTCTATTTTGACTCCTAAGGACCCTGTATAAGGTTTCCAGGGAGCAGTTGGTGAGTTTGAACCGCCAACTTGTCGTTCAATCCAACCTTTCTGTGCAGTACTTTAATGTTACTAGATATCTACCTTAGTATATAGTATATAGTTTGTACGTTTAAAAAAAACAAACAAAACAAAGAAATATTTCCAGATACACAAAACCATCTTTAACACAGTAATGTGTACCTCAAAGCCCACCCATTTGTTATTTCTAGAATTGTTTTATAATACATATTTTTTAGACCTCCAAAAATGACTCATAATTCACTACCTCCATGCTCTTCACTGAGGAAATAAGTACATGAGGTTTCAGGCAAGGAGTCAAGAAAAACAAAAGTCTCAGAACAGTGTTATGAAAGAAGCATTGGCATACCTGGAGAGCAACAGTTTACCCTGAAGCTGCAGGTCAGCGGCACAGTCCTCCGAACGGCAGTTCCTTTCAAAAACAGTCTAAGGGAAAGACACAACCGGAAGACTGGATTAGGACTTTAATGGCAAATGTGTAAATAACAGTCAATTTTCCTTTTCGCAAATCAGGAATTCTCCTTTTTAAGTCTTCCACACCCACCTAAATTAAAGAAGCCAACTCCCAACATGGTGAGGAACTTATCAAAACCCAAAGGCTCAGGCTTCAACAAACTCCAAATCAATGGGGCCCTTGCTTTCATGAGTGCGTTCTTTATTTTAAGGACTGTTGTAATGCCATGGTGAAGTGCCTGGGTACCAAAACATGGCAGTTCCAGGCCATGTAGCAACTGCACAGAAGACAGACCTGGAGATCTTCTTCCATAAAGATTACAGCCTTGAAATCCTCAGGAGGCAGTTCTACTCTGTCACATGGTGTCATTGTGAGACAAGAAAGACTGAATGGTACCTGACAACAGGCTCTTTATTCTGATTCAGCCCTTAGCCTACAACTACCTTCTAAAGTAGCTTTTTCAAGAAGGGTACATGGTAGATGTCCTTTCAATTTGTGTTTGTCTGAGAACGCCTTTTAGGAGGTCTCAGAGGTGAAGGAACCATAACCATGTTGAGAAAACAATTCTTGGGTTATTATCTGGTCTGTTCCCTCTAATTACTCACTTGGGAAGAGAGATGAATCTATATCAAAGATTGGTTCTACCTTAGCCACGAGACCATATTCTAATTTTCAGTCCCAAAGAAAAAGCCCATGGCAATTAGACTGTTACTCTTGCTGTTAAGTTTTGTCAAGTTGGTTTTAACCCATAGTGGCTCCATATAGGGTTTCCAAGGAACAGCTGGTGAGCTTGAACCGTCCACCTTGCAGATCAAGCCAACTTTGATCAAGTCAGTGCATTAACCCTCAGCACCACACTAGGACACCTTAGGCTAATACACAGAGGGTTTTTTTTTTTCCTGTGGCTAGCTGGGGCAGCAACATTTTAATAGGGACACAGTGTCCTTTTTCTAACCAAAGCCCCACTCATGTGCCAAAACCTGATATATTTCCAGAGGGCTGTGGGATGTGCCTGAGCTTTGGCATATCTGTGGAGGTCAGCCTGGGAATAAGAAGGGACATTTGGGGAAGGGGTATTACAGTTTTCTTTTCTCTCAGCTACACAGTGGGCTTCAGTCCTCCAGTCCTTCCCTCAGCGTGGTCTTAACGTTTCTCATCTGTGGAGGATAGGTTTCTCCATGTTCCAGACTGAATGAGACTCTGCTACTATCAGGCAGTTTTGACCATTTCAGTAAGATTCTGAGAGAAGAGCCCTATGCCATTTTTAAATGATTATTTATTCACTATTAAACTGCTTTATGGCCAGTTCTCATGTTTGCAATTGTTTCGTCCCACAGAATAGTTCCAGGTGTTTTGTTCCTCTCCTACAGAATAATTCCAGGAGACGTCTCAGCGTGCCAGCATGGACTCCAGCAAAGGTGTTGGCCTATGAACAGTCTAGACCCAACCAGACAGAGTAATTTTGCCTATGGAAATTAATATTCCTGTGCCACATTTCCAAAAGAATAAGGTGTCCCAGCCAACATTCCCTTCCTGATTGGGAGGGAAAAACACATGGAAGTTTGGGCAAAAAGAGGAAATTTACATGTTCTTTTGGACACTACTGGGGGCAAAGACAGAGCCAAATTTCCAGATTTTAACACAAGACATTTGTGCTTTTTGTGCCATCTCAACCAAGGAGAAAACAAGAGGAAGTGGGCGTAAAGACTGCATGAATGTCTCAGAAGAAATGAAAGGAAGGTATTATGAGTTTTAGAAGGAAGTAACTAACACCAAAGGGGCTTTACTACAAAACTAATGAAACTTAAAGCTTAAGGGCTCCTCACTGACATGGACCTTGTCCAGTTCTGGTACCTAACTTAGCACTGACAACTGTACTTTTAAAAAAATTAGTTTTTCCTTTGAAAAGAGTTCTCCTCCCAAATTGTATAAGCTTCAAGTACCACAAAGCTCAGCTCTGCTTCTGGGGTACAGTTCTCTTTCGCATGGGTCACAGCTGTTCGTGATTCATAGGCAAGAGACATTTGGTGGGGCTTAGAGATGAAATGAAGAGTAGGGATGGAAACAGGTGAAAAGTCATGAAAAGGATGTGACGTGAACCCATCACAAGGTGCAAGAGTTAAGGTTTTGTGTCACCTTGACAGGGATTCAGGGCTTTGGTAGTTGTTGTTTATTGTTAAGTGTTGTTGAGTCTATTCAAACCATAGCAACCCTCTGAGGAGCAGCTGGTAAGCTTGAACCGCTGACCTTCCAGTTCAAATGGCTTTGCAGTCTGGCGCATGAACCCACAGCACTTTGGCAGTTAGGACACAGCTATTCCGTGTGATGAGATCTAATATAATATAATCACGGCCTTGAGATCTGCTGTGAGCAGTCAAGTCAACTGAAATAAAGTTTCCTAGGGAGGGTGACCTGCAACATCTTCTACCTTACAAAGATAAAAGGCAAGAGAAATGAGCAGAGAAGGAGGGGACCGACTAACACCAAGAGGGAAGAAGCAGTAGTAGAGGGCCTGGGGTCCCTCTATTGTGAAGCTCCTCGGTCCAAGGAAAGACTGATGCCAATACACATGGAAATCTCCAGTGAATGCTGGGTTTACAGATGTTGAAAGGACTCCAAGCCTCCTAAACTGTTAAGAGAATACATCTTTGTTGTTAAAGCCATCCACTTGTGGTATTTCAGTTAGAGCAGGTACCAGACAACTAAGACACACGGCACACAGGATGGACACAGCTGACCACTGTGTTCATAGTTCACACCTCATGCTAGCCATGCCTGACGCTGGCCTTACACTTTTCCCTCAGAACATTTCCACAAGCCTCCTCTGAATGTCCCTACTCCCAGCTTCACCTCAGCTCATGTCCTCTCATCCTACAATGAGGAAATAAAAACAATGAATCCATCCATTGGCAAGCTCAGGCCCTGCTGAAAACCCCTTTCCACCCCCCCAAACTATCAAATAGAAACTTCGGTATTTTTCTAACAGCCTTTTACGATTTCTTGCCCATTACCTTCAGACTAGGCATTTCTGGGAGGTAGCTTTTCGGACCCTCCTGTGCTTTTGGAAGCCCAGCCTTCTGGGCTGCGGGTTTCTCCTTCTGAGCAGAAGCTTTCTTTCCCTCAGCGGTCACCTTCTTTCCTGGAACCCTCCCAGCAGTAGGTGCTGCAGCTGTGGCAACTTCTTGTGCAGCAGTTGTTTTTTTGGGAGAAGTTTTCAGGAGAGCTGGGCTTTGAAGCTTCTCAACTTCAGACTCTGTTATTCAGTTCCTCATTTTCTTTGCCTTCATGATTTGAAAAAGATCAAAATCTGTCATCTTAACTTTCTTTTCTCTGGCTTCAATCTTCTTGGCCAATCCTGTGGTTGCTCATTTTGTATTGATATCTGCCTTCAGCCAGGCACATTGGACATACTTCTGGCAGACACTGTGTGGGAGCTTGAGCATGAAGTCATTGAGTTGCATGCATTTGAAAGGCATGGCCTGTCTTCTTATTTGAGTGCAAGGACCATCAACCAAAGATGTTCTGATGAAAACATCTGTAATCATGGCAGGTTTCCCTACATGAGGCCTGAAGGGGATATAGGCCACTGGCCAACCTGCACGAAGTGAACTACCTGAGTACCACACTGGCAGTGTTCCACAACAAGGTTGTAGTAACCTCTTAAAAGTTCCAAATGCTTTCTCATTCTACTGTTCATCTCCATTGTAACAAATCAATATTATTACTTATTTAATACTTGTCTCCCCTGCTAAAATTATGCTCTATAAAGGCAGGGACTGTATTGGTCCTATTCACTTCTGTGCCTGCGTTCTGAGTGTGGCATATAATAGCTGCTCAGTCAACAATGAAAGCCCACAGAGCTCTGAGAGATGGGTTTTACCAATGAAGTGGGCCCCATGTTAGGGGCAATACTAGCTAGAGAATGGTCCACTAAAACTAAAGCAACATCAACTCCTTCCCCACAATGCACCTATCCTTCTGCTACTTGAGAGATCCATGAGGAGGAGCCAGTAGCTTTGAAAAAGCTCATTTTCTTTGATGTGACTTTCCCTTGTATTTTTCTATTTCCCGTTCCAGAAACTGGTTTATCAAGCTGTTAAGTTTCCCAGTGCTTCTGAATTTCTACACACAAAGGTAAGCACTGAATAAGATACAGTGTATATATGTATATGTGAGGGACTCCAGTGGTACAGTGATTAAAGTGACTGCCTGCTAACCAAAAGGTCAAAACGTTGGTCGTTCAATCCCACCAGCTGCTATGAAAAAGAAAGATGTGGCAGTCTGCTTCCCTAAAGATTTACCATGCTGGAAACCCTGTGGGACTCTTCTACTCAGTTCTATAGGGCTCTTCCTATAAACTGGAATCAATTCAATAGCAATGAGTTTTAGTTATATATATATGCATACATATGTATACACACATACACACAGACATTCATGTATATATACACACACACACACACCTACTAGAAGAAGTTGGAAGGGACAAGGGCGGATTCTTCCCTGCAGCCTTCAAAGGGAACTTGAAAAATTAAGCACAAACTGTAGTGAGAAAGATGAGGATTTCTACTCTCTTAAAGATGTAATCCTCAGAAACACTATGAGTTGGAATCAATTCAGGGGCACAAAACAAAGAACTAGTTTAGAAATTGTTGTTGTTGCTGTTAGGTGCCATAGGGTCCTAACGACCCTATGCAAAACAGAGCAAAACACTGCCTGGTACTGGGCCAACCTTACAACTGTTGCTAAGCCTGAGTTCACGGCTGCCACCACTGTGCCAATTCATCTTGTTGGGCGTCTTCCTCTTTTTCTCTGACCCTCCACTTTACCAAACATGACATCCTTCTCCAGTGACTGATCCCTCCTGGTAATATGTCAGAAGTATATAAGATGAAGTCT